CCCCAGCGCTGTCCGTGGGCTGCACGCGCTCGTGCCTGGCCCTGCCCCGACGTCGCTCTTGTCAGAGAGCTGCTACAAGTCTGATCCCAGAAATCCCCAGATAGTCCCAAGGTCTCCAACATTCGTCCTCTTTTTCTTTTCTGGCTTTTTTATTTGATGCCAGAGATGTTGGAAAGAAAGACAGCCCCAACGGTCTCAGAACAAATGGAAAATGTTAATTGATGGAGGTTGCATTTGCTGAGTTCTGAAAACACGAACTCCATGAAACTATGAGAAAAATTCATCAGAGAAACCACCATAGTTCTATTTGGGTCAATGGTTAGATCAAAATATGAAATGCACCAGATATTTTAATACGATTTAATTAAATGTAAACTGAAATATTTTAATTGCTTCCAAATAGTACGTCCCAGAGCGGCCAGCCGACAACAACGTGAGCCCCGGCCCTGGCGATGGGGTCATACCCACAGCACCGCCTGGTCGGCCAGCCCCACCCTAGCATCAGGGACGCCAGGCAGGGCTGTGCAGGCTGGACCTCCCTCTCCCCTCAGGCCAGTACCTCCTCAGAGCCGCAGCTCGGTCTGCGAACCCCTCAGCCCCGTCTGCGAGGCCAGGACCAGGAGGGGACAGGCCCGAGCTGAGGGTGTCCTCAGGCCTCCCAGCAGTGACCGACGGGCAGGTTGTGGGGAACAGCAAAGAAAGCGGAGTGGTGAGAGGTGACCCTGTCCCACCCCCCACAGTACCCGCCCTCACGGGCAGAGGCGTCGCAAACAATTGCTTCTGGAAGCTTCTCTAGAGAGCAGATGGCCTGACACTTCAATTTCCCATTCACTCCTCGTCCTCGTAGCACAGATAGCTGCGATGCAGCTGTAGCTCAAGCCCTCGGCCGCGGGGTATCTCTCGGACGAGCGTTCCGTGCACACTTTCACAGGTCCGACACAGCTCCCTGGTGCCAGCTCCAGGGACCCCGACACACCCTGAACCCCCTCAGTCCTAGCAAGCATCTAGGACACCCGGTTCTTTCTCCAAAAGGTGTGAGAACCCCAAGAGTGGCACTGTCCGTGGTCAAAGAAGCAGAAGGAGAGTGGAGCGTTGCCCCAGCAGGCGTGCGTCCGTGGGTTCGGGACGCTTCTTTGACAGGTACGTGCTCTCCCTGCAGAGAGACAGGGAGGAGGGGGAAGACGAAGCACCCAGGGAATGGCCAAGCTGCTGTCCTTCCTCCTCCTCTCTCCGCTTGAGACTCTGGGCATGCACACATGCCTAGCATGTTGCTCACGCTTCCTCTGAACCTGGGGCAAGTAGTAGTCCACACATAGTCCACCACATGAGGTCCAGCCGCTTTAACCGCCGTGCCATGGCTAGCCCTGGAAATGCTTCTTAAGTGACTATTAGATCTTCAAGGAAATGGGCAGGGTTATTCTTGCTAAATGCACGGTAGCGCGTGTGGTGCTGAGGAGCCCGCGAGGCTGAGGTCCCGGCCCACGGCCTGCCCGTGGGTGCCAGCAGGCGCTGGGTGAGCGGCCTTCACGTGCACCGGCCCTGGTCCTCGCTGACTTTGGACAAACCACGATGGCAGAAGAGCCATGACGACCTGTCGCCAACAGGCGTGGGCGAGGTCACAGTGTTTGCTCCGGGCCAGCCACACTCATGGGGAGCGTGGACGGGGCATGACAGCGGGGACGCGGGCAGAGCAAAGGCCACGCTGGGGGCTCCCCTGCCTCCAGTCCAGCTCTGCCGGGGTGTCTCCACAGCGGCAGAGGAAAGCTCTCCGGTCAGGGTGCGGCTAGCCCGTGCTGTCCGAGCGGCGATTCAAATCCAGATACCCAAGGGCCCGACTTACTCAAGACACTCGCTCCAGTGGTGGCCCTGTTGTCCCGTTCGAGAGGGGTGCAGGAGCACAGCGTCCTGTCGGGAGTTTCCGGCCTGCGTGGCTCCCTGCCTGCTCAAATGGCCTAAGGCAAAGCTCTGCACAGGACTGGGGTCCGAAAGAGCAGCTGAGTCCGGCCCTTCCCCAGGGCGAGCACTCGGGTTTGCAACACGCCTGTTCATTAGCTGTACATTTGACGCTCGCTCGGGAAAATTCTCAGGTCCCAAGCGCAAGGTCAGCACAGACAAGCCTGGAGACGCCACCTGCCTCTGCCCCCACACCCGTTTGACGGGGCGAGAAGACAGCGAAGGAGCCAGGAAGAAGCTTCGTGGGGTGGCTTTAGAAGACTGGCGTAAACGCTGCGATGCTCAGCTAGACTCGCCGCGTGCCGGCTCTAAGAAAAGACGGCACGAGACAGCAGAGGAACGCCCTGCCCTTGGCGCTCAGAGGCTGCTCTGCTCTCTGACGTGCTCTGATGAAAACGGACAAGGCAAAGCCGCTCGGTTTTTAAACACAGAAACTGAGCCAGCGGGCGCACTGCGTGTGGCCCAGGGAGTGAGCACTCCAGCCCAGGAAACAGAGCCAGGGAGCGCACTGCCGTGGCCCGGCCAGCGAGTGCTCCCGCTCCAGCCCTGGCCTTGCTCACCTTTGCAGCTGCCACGGTGGGCGACCTCCAGCTGAGGGTCTTTGCACTTGGCGCGCTGGAACTCACAGCGGGACAGGAAGGTCCTTCCATCCGACGCACAGAGAGGCTTCTGCGGAGACCCCGCACAGTCCAAGCTGCAGTCTTTGTCTTTATCTTGATCAACTCTCAAGAACTTGGGGGAGAAAAAACAAAGAAGCCGGACAAACTGGTAAGTTTTCTGTGGGTCAGCCCCAAACCAAGCCCACCGACAGCCCCCAGAGGTCAGGAAGCAGAGCCACTAGGAATGACCCCCCTTGGTCCTTACACTTCCAGAAACACAGGGTCGGCAACGCCCAGCCCAGGCCTCCAAAGCCCACGGTGACCCAACTGTCCTCAGGGGTCAACACAGCCCAGCCCAGGTCTCCAAAGCCCATGGTGACTCGATTGTCTTCAGGGTCAGCACAGCCCAGCCCAGCCCTCCGAAGCCCGCAGTGACCCGAGTGTCCTCAGACTCAGCGGTTGTCCTCCATCCCACAGGACGCGTGAGCCCAGCCCTCTCTGGAAGGAGGTGCTCACGCTGTAAGAGTCCGAGTGTGGGTTTCCTGCAATGCATCGACTCATTTGCCGATTGGCTTTGAAATCACCCTGAGCGCCCACGCTTTGGGGGTATGCTGTGGAGAGCAGCCCCGGTGTGGAACCAGGGCCCTCCTCCTTGGAGCGGGGCCACACAATGCCACCTGTGTTCCCAGACTCTGCTTGCAGACACGCACGTGAACAGACCCTTGTCTTCCGAGGGACCATGCCCTAGGGAAGGCGCTGCTTGCCCCTCTCAGTTCCTCCTGAGCGGCTCGGGGGCACCAACACATCCAGAGGACACGCAGCTGCAAGTCCGGGCCGCCCCGACAGCCCCGGGGACACGGCTAGGCATGTCCCGCCACGGCCCTTTACGCCGTCTCCAACAGGCTCCTCCCAGCCCGTGCCACATGCCATGGACCAAGTGGCCCCGCGCACCCGGCCACCCTCACAGACCAGCAGTCGGCCTGGACCTGCCTGGTCCAACGAGGAAGGACGCTCCGCAGGGCGCTGTGGAGGGCGTGCTGCAGGGTGGTTGGGTCCTCATCACTTCTGCCCCTCCCCAGGTGCACTAATTTAGGGAGAGCGGCAACACATCAGAGGAGGGGAGAGGGAGAGACAGAGACAGAGCGTGAGCCCAGGGCTGGCCCCCGTGAGGACGCTGGGCGGGTCTGGGACCTGTGGGCTTGCACGGTTTGCTCCCACAGGCTTGCCCCAGGTCTGTTCACAGAGGTAAGGACAGTTCTGTCAAAAAGACCCCCACCTCTCATCTGAGCTGGAGGAAGACAGGACTGGGGCAACTCAGGACCCGCCACTACCGTGTCCCTTCCTCAGCACAGAGGAAACCGCCCCCCCGCCCCCGGGCCCGGGAGTGCCATGCCCTGAGGGCTAACAAGCTCCCCTCGGAGGTCTGCCCATCTGGATATCTCTGTCCAAGATCAGCCAAGGCCAACACTCGGGTCAAAGCCATGGAGAGCAAGACCCCAGGATGACAGGTGTCCCCGCCCCCCGGGCCTGGATCCTAGAACCCCTCTGCAGCAGGGCAACCAGTGCACATGGGGGGGTGCTGGGACAGGTAGGCTGGGGGTGCTCACAACGGCCCGTTCCAGACCTAAGCGGAGGCTTGAGCCCAGACCGGGCAGCGGCACTGAGCGAGGTTCAGTGCTTCACTTCGGGGCTCCAGGACAAAGGGCCGAGGGGCTATTCACACGTGTCCACCTGCGTCCACCTGCTGAAATGACCCGCGCCTGCTTAGGCCTGAGGTCAAATGAAAATGCACATCTCCTGCTGCGGGTTTTGCAAACCGTGAACTTCCACTAAGACACGGGCTGACGCCTCGCTAAGTGGTCTCTGCGTGCTTCCCACGTGGCCTGAAGACACACACTTGAATTTCCTGCCCTGGGGGTGCCTGGGAAGCAGAAAGCCCAGAGGCAGGCAGGCCTAGAGAAGGAGGCACCCCAGGTCTGTGTCCCAGGGAGCTCAATCCCCACTCCACCTCGACCCCTCGGAGCCGGCTCTTTACACAGCACTGAAATCCCAACCACCTGTCCCCAAACTCACTGGCCTTGGGCAGCCAAGGTCTAAGGCAGAGAGAGGACCCAACGAGTGCTCACGGGACCAGGCAGTCCACCCAGGACAAGCCACGGGCCCTGGGCTGGAACAGGAGCCCACCTGCAAACACCTGCTCCAGCGGGGTGAAAGCAGCCCGACCCCGACGTGAGGCCGTGCTGAGGACCGGGCGCTGTGGTCCACTTCCTCTGGATGGAGGGATGGCCTCTGCAACTTTGATGAGGAAGGGGGCCAGAGAGCCCAGCACTCGGGCCCTGGGTCTGACCACGACACCCGACAGCCCGGGGGTGTGGCACCGAGTGGCAGTGCTGTCCTCGGGGGTCAGATGGCACACCCTCTCAGCACGTAGGACCACTCTCATGGCCTTGGCAGAGACAATGCCAATGACACCCTCCTCCAATCCCGTCTGTGGGACAATGACACCCTCCTCCAGGATCTGCCTGTGGGACAGTGACACCCTCCTCCAGGATCCGCCTGTGGGACAGTGACACCCTCTCCGGGATCCCGACTGTGGGACAGTGACACCCTCCTCTGATCCCGTCTGTGGGACAGTGACACGCTCCTCCGGGATCCCATCTGTGGGACAATGACACCCTCTCCAGGATCTGCCTGTGGGACAGTGACACGCTCCTCCGGATCCCGACTGTGGGACAGTGACACCCTCTCCAGGATCCCGACTGTGGGACAGTGACACCCTCCTCCGGGATCCCGACTGTGACAGTGACACGCTCCTCCGGGATCCCATCTCCCCCCCGTCCGGGACCCGGCCTGTGGGACAGTGACACCCCCCCCAGGATCCCGCCTGTGGGACAGTGACACCCTCCCCCGGATCCCGACTGTGGGACAGTGACACCCTCTCCGGGATCCCGACTGTGGGACAGTGACACCCTCCTCCGGGATCCACCTGTGGGACAGTGACACCCTCTCCGGGATCCGCCTATGGGACAGTGATACCCTCTCTGGATCCCGACAGTAGAGCAGCTGTCTGTTCCTTTCATAAACGGGGCCAGAGGGTCGCCTGCATGGACGCTCCCAGTAGGTCAGTTAGAATCAGATTCTGGGACCAGGAGGAGGTGGCATAGTGGTTGAGGTGCTGGACTTCCACGTAGTTAACCCTGGTTTGAGTCCTGGACCGGGCAGCTTGGAACTCACACCGGTGTGTGTGTGTGCGTGTGTGTGTGTGCCCAAAATCCTGAGAGAAGGGAATGAGGTGTGGCCATCCCTCCGGGGGATTTCTCACTTCCTGTCTCTGTCTCGCTTTGTCTCTCAGGCAAGCACGTGCACCCTATAGCAAAATTCTTACCCCCCCAAAACAGAACCAGTCTCTGGGGCTCCCAGCTGATGTCACGTGGGCCGTGGGCAGGCACTAGCACGGGAGGGCCGGCGAGGTGTGGCTCAGGGACTGTCGTTCTGTGCAGCTTTTCTGAGACGGTGCCAATGCCGAGGCTGCTGAGGGCGCCAGGGAGTGAGTTCCCTTAGATGAGCTCGCGGCATGGAGGCACGGCTCCGACCACGGTGCGGCCCGTGTGGAGCTGCACAGCTGGGCCTCGGGGGGCAGTCACCGCGAAGACTCTGTCTGAGCAAAATGCGGTGGGGGGGGGACAGAGGCACAGGTGGCCCCCCGGTGGCTTGTCTTTACTCGTGTGAGACCCTCGTGAGGCCAGAGAGCCACGCATGTGCCACGTCCAGTGGCCCAGGCTCTCGCCTCTGATTCGTCTCCTGGGTACTGGCAGGCATTAGAACCACGCCCGAGCTGGGGTGAGGCCGTGATCTGAACCCACATGACTAGGGGAAAACTGCAACCCGGAGGTAAGCGGCATCAGGCCACATGGACACCGCGTGCGCAGAGGGCCGACCACACCTCCAGGGCTCCGGGGTCGGGAACAGCGCCGACTGAGAGCTTGGCCGGGACAGCCCCGTGGATGAGCCGGGGTGGTGGCTTCTACGGCAGAGGTGACGGCAGCAGTGCCGTCCTCAGGGACCACTGTGGACCAGCCAGCCGCGCGGGCCCAGGACGTTCTGACAGGACACCCTGCCCCCATTCAGCCACGGCCTGGCGGGGTCAGAGGCATCCCTGGCCTGCTCTCGGTCAGCACCCTAAGGAGAGGGTTCGGAGTGTGAGACGGAGGAGCCGCTGTGGTAGGCCAGGAGCAGACAGAGGTTTTGCCAGGAAGACTGGGGAAGAGGCGGGATAGAACTCAGGGCTCAGCCCTGCAGCAGACAGAGGGAAGAGCAGGAGGCGGGACGGACGTGGGAGGACGCCACGCGGGGCGTGGTGGGCTGGAGGGCTACCCCCCCCCCCCCCCACACAGGCCAGCCCTCCCCTGCATGGGCTCAAAGAGAGGCTTCTCGGGGACACAGATGCAGCCAGGGGACCCCAAGGCAGAGCCCGACAAGACCGGGTGGGACACTCCGAGATGGGAGTAAGGCCACCAGGCCCCCACGTGTGCCCCCTGCTGGCCTCACACCCTCACGCCCTGGTTCGCACTGAGGCCCAGGCAGTGCCGAGCAGCACCTTCGCAGGCTCTGACTGGTGTGGCCCCGGCCCAACCCCCACAGCTCAGCAGCCTCCTCCTGCCCTCGTCCGAGTGAGCTGCGGAAGGGGGTACCGGCCTGCCCTCCTGCCCGTGACACTCTCCTTCCCCAGGCACCTTGTCCCTGCGTCCCCTCCCACCCCCCAGAAACGTCCACCCCGACGGTGGTGATGGGCACCATGCCGCCCCAGCCCCTGCCAGGGCGGGGCCGTGCCTGTTGGCAGGCCACTCCGCGGTGTGCATTAGAGACCAGCAGGCACCCGTCACCCTGACGTAGCCACAGGCTGGGTCAGGGGTGGGGACCTTCGCCCGGCCTGAATGTCTACAGAGCCCGACCACTTTCCAGTCTCAGCGTGCAGGGTCCTGACACGCTGAGCACAAAGCAATCTCTTGGCAAGGACACGCCTCTTGCAGGGCTGCCCTCTCATGCCACCCCGCGGTCATGAGGACCCTGCCCAATCTCAAAGGGTACGCACGAGCTGACCGCCTGCAGAGGCGCCTGCAGAGGTGGCTCCCC